TTTTCACGAAAAAGATAGCAATGAAATTAGACAGTGTGTTGGCAAAACAACCGCTCGTTCATCAGCAGAGCCAATATTTCAGTATCTAATTATTTTACGGCGATCCACGATCATCACCTGAAAAGCCCGCCATACGTTTCAAACATCAACATGTCCTCAAAGTCGTCAAGGTCGTCTACTATGTCGTCTGGATAGTAGCCATTCATCATCATGAACTCTTCTGGTGAGTTGTCAGCTTAGTGCTTCTATTCTTCGTCATCTTCCTCATCTGCATCTGAAAGGGAAGTGTTAGAGTTAGCGAACGGAGGGAGGGTGATTGATGGTATCGGGGAGAATCAAGGGATACAGGCAAGAGGATGGCATACGTAAGCCAGAGGAGACGGAGGGAAGGCGGCGAAGAGACCGGGATGGGAAGGCGAGGACAAGGGAAACAGGGCGGACGAGAAGGGACAAGGAAGAGGGACAAGGAAGAGGGACGAGGAAGAGGGACGAGGAATAGGGACGAGGAAGAGGGACTAGGAAGAAGCACAGGGGGGAGAGATAGAACTTACCATCCATCATGTCGCCCACGTCGGTATCGAATTCGTCGTCGTCCTCATCGTCGTCGTCGTCGCCGTCGTCGTCGTAGCCCGGATAGGACGGAGGGGGGTCCGGTTTGACGCGCTGAGCCAACTCGCCCACATAGTGCTTCCAGTCAATACCGGTGTATTCTTGCGTAGGGTCCTCCTTTTCATTGCTGCCCTTCCCATAGAATGACACGCGGGCATGCATTCCAGCTGAGATCTGGTTGGGTAGGGCGATCTTAATGTGCTCTAAATCCAACCCAGGGACTTCCCGCAGACTCTTGAGCATCTTGGCCCACACATTGAACTTATAACGGGCACGAAGATCGTCGCCAGTGTCGTTGGGATTATGCGGTTGACGGTTGATGAGGGTGACCCGGTACAGCTCAAGTCTCTTGAGTTTAGCGGCAAATTTGCGCACGACGTCAAGGAGAGCCTTGGTTTCGACATCGCAGAAGCCAAAATTAAGCTCCTCTAGGCAAGCAAAGCTTGGGGACGGCGGAAGTGCTAGCATCGGCGAAGTGGCGGGAGGCGTCAACGTTGCCGACGACGGCAAGGACGGAGACGGCGACGGCGGGTGCGGGTGCGACTTCGACGGGGATGCCGCCGACGACGACGGCGACGGCGACGACAGCCAGTTCAGTAGCTTTTCAACACCACCACGTGCGTTAAAGAAGTTGATGCGTAGATGCTTGACATTGGTGAGGTGCGTGAGGAAGTGGCACAACAGGTAGTCGTAACGATTGTGATCCTTCTGCGTCGGTTGGCCAGGGATGGGGACGGCGATGCCTCTATTGGGGCCGGATCCGACGTTTGCGACCAGAATAAACGTCTGGAGACCCTCAAGGACAGGGACGACCTTAGGCTTAAGGTAATTGGTGAAGAGATTGAAGGCATTGTCGTTGGGGATGCACATTTGTCGACGTAGCATTTCGAACGTCTTTGGGCGGGCCCTAGCGTTGCCAAGGGCTGTGAATAGGGTGATCATAACTTTATTGGCGTATTCCTGGGCTTCTTGAGTATTTGTTTTCGCCAAAAGGTCAACGCCGGTCTCCTTGCGGATGGTCGTAGCTCCATAGCTTGCCCAGGTGGCGCCGTAGCCATCGCGATGCTCACGCTCGCGTGAGTGATAGTCTCGAATCCCGACGGTTTGGAGGTTCTTCAGGTTCCGGAAGGCCTCGGTGAGCATTACTACATCCTGGCCACTGCTGACAAGGGTGCCGTGGTCGGCGTAGGCCTGGCGGTAGGCGTTCTCTTGGGCCACTTCCATGGGCGAGAAGCGGCGGTAGTCGAAGAAATCGAGCCCTATTACCACGTGGTCGAGGCAGTCGCTCAGACGAGAGTTGCTGATATCGACCAGGGCTTGCAAGCTCTGTTCTGTGAGCATAAACTGCCGCTTGGTGAAGAACTCTCTCATGAAGGTGTTGAACAGGGATTGTTCGATGGACTTGCACGTCAATCGAAGATTGCCCAGTTCGGGCGTCGTCAGGGACGAGGATATACGTAGGAGGACCTCGATAGGCACCTTGCTGAAGGGAGTTGTAGGCGGCGACAACGTCCGCGACGGCAGCGACGACGTTGCCGGTTGCGACATGGTGGCGGTGGTATGGAGAGGACGCCAAAGAACGACGAGAGCGACGACAGCAGCGATAGGGGGGGAGTACGGACAATAGAGGGGGACGAAAGGCCCGGCGAGGAGCGGCGGCGGTATAGAAGGATAATGAGAGCAGTACCGACGACGACGGAGGAGAAGAAGGTAGAGATGAAGTTGAAGGTCAAAGCGAGGAAGGCGCGGCTGAGAGCTTGAGTTAAAGCGTGCTTTCCTAAAAGGTTGAGATGTGAAGTTTAGGCAGGAACCGTCAAGCGGGGGGCGTTACTGGATGCGCTTTCCACAACAAGCAATAGGTCAGTCTCTTGTCAAGGTACCTTACCTACCTAGGTAGATGGAGATGAAGTCGAGTCGGTGATTCAGAATAGCTTCACAGCATCCAATCGTCTCGTGGTGTCTCAAGCTCGCGCCAGCTGTTGCCTGTTCCTTTCAATGGAGCTCTAAATCGGTTGTTAAACCCCTGGCGATGTTGCACTGGCAGGATCGAGTCCGGTCCGTGTTTTAGGGAGGTGAACGCTGTAAGATACCTGGAGGTCAATACCTGCCGCGGCCGTTCAGTTGACAGGTGAGTGACATGAAGGAGCTTGGACCACCAGGTGAGACCTCTGCCGTCATTCACAGTGCAGCGTCCCTGCAGCGACGGCCCTCTCTCCAGGCTGCAGCGCCCCACAGAACGGCTCGCTTTTGGCGCTAAGTCCCGATAAGGACGTAGGTCCACTATATACCGCATTTGGACGCTGATTCAGCAAGTTCAATGGACTTTGTCTCTTTCAGGGGCGGGTGATCCCCGACGCTGCGCGACAGAATCTAAAAAATTGGACAACGCACCTCACCTCCAGCACAAAACCGAACCCCCTTTTGTTCCCTCGATTAAGGTAGAACATGGGCTCCCTACACAAGGTTTTGACGGTCCATCTGTCGTTGGCACCTTATTTCATCGTCGTTTTCGCTTTTTGACTGCACGTCGAAAAAGGGCTAGCCGTCGCTCAAAATTTTATAGTATATACGTCAGCAACGTCCTCCCACCATGCCGGTTGTCAGCCGACGCAAAAAGCAACGACTTGTCGCGCTGGTCTCTCGCCATTTTCTGCCCATGTGGATCGAAGAATCTCAGCAGACGGGCGCCCTCCTTTGTTTTTTATTGTGCAGCACACCCCCGGCAGGCCTTTGGTGGGCGTGGCTCAGCCCGTCACCCCCAATCTCAGCCAGAAAGTCTTGGCACCACCACCAAATGCCAAATGGAATCGACAGTTGCTTTTCATCTTGAAACAGGCCCTGGATGATGCTCATGCGGAGAAGACATCCTTTGTCTGTTCTCTCGGAATCAACCGGCCAAAGTTGCATTGGTCGGGAGCCAAGACTTCGACAATGTCCTTGTTATTGTTGTCTTGACTGGCCCTTTGTTCGGATGCCCGCGCCGTCGACGATCGGCTTCGTCTCAACTTGATGGCCTCTGTCAACGGTCATGGTTTATTTCAACGTCGTTTGCCACCAGCACTGGACTAGGCCATCCCATTTGTCGGCTTGAGGTACGGACCTGGGCAGAAATTGCACTTGGACCAGACTCGACCGATTGCAGGACTGCTCGAAGAAATCGCCTCAGATTGCGCAACATGTACCATTATTCAGGCATCTCTGCAGAAGAGCCCAGAGCCCACAACGCCGCTCTGTTGGTGGGAATTCCGCCACAGGATGAACCTACAGTTCACTGCGTACGAGCAATACGTATCTCTCTCGACTGAGTAGTTTGTCCGGCTCGGCGCGTCTCCAGGCTCGTTGGCCCATCCCAAGGCCGTCAATCATATCCGTATGCCTCGAGAAGCCCGCATGCGACCAACACCAGGACCTCAATAAATCGCACGAGTGCAGCCAGAGTCGCATTCCACGTGGGGTCGTTTATTCGTATATTGACCGTCAGGCACAGCGGATTGGAGAGAGATGAAGGGAGAGAGGCGAATACGCATGGCGCAAGGCACAGCATGCCCACATCACGTCCGCGGTGGCACCAAACACCACGGATTGGCGAATTACGACGCTCATCAGATGTCCTTTTCACCGCCCGCTGCCAACGGTTGGCCTTTACCTGCGGCACGAGGCCCATAAGTTTAAACTGATCAAGAAGGTGTGCTGACTGCCTTTCGGCGGGCATGTTGCAATTCTGCCCGCGGTCTTTCTCATTTTCTTGCGGCATGCCAAGACGTTCGCCAAGAGTCGCAGCGGGGAGCCTCAACAAGACGCAGCCCACGACTGGATCCGGACCTTATTTTTCCATCCTCCGGCTGCCATGGGCGGAGATGACTATCGGGGGTTCAATGCAACGATACTTGTCGCCAAACAATTCTTTGCTGACCAGCCGCGGACGTACTGATAGCCGCATGGTAGAATCGCCGACATGGTCAATATGGAGCACCGGTTCCTGGATCTTGCTGCCCCCGGTCCATGACTGACCCCCGTGCGCGCCGTCCCCAAGACCGCAACTTCTGCAAACCCCGTCTTGCTCGCATCTGGCCATGCTCATTTGCTCTCTCGGTGATCTTTGATAGAGAACTGGGGCGAGCGAGTACTTGGCAAACACCCCCACCGTCGTCCCTAATCACCCCGACCCTCCCGGGGCCACATCCGCCAACACCATGGCCAGCGCTGGTGCTACCGAACCGGCTTGATTCCGATCTCGATATAAGGACGCGTCTCCCCAGCAGTGGCCAACGTTTGCCCAGCTTGGCGACTCAGCTTCGGTTCACTCACGCTGCCGTCACTCAAAAAAAACATCTTTCCAACTCGACACCGTTCGACCAGTCACTCTTTAAGACAACACAAACGCAGCGGCAATGAAGTCCGTTCTCTTCTTCGCGACCGCCGCGGCGGCTGCCGGCCCCTACCTGGCCTGGACCGCCGACTCCTTCACCCAGCACGAGATCGACAACAAGAAGCCCTACCACTACACCAAGGCCGTCCTCTACGACGGCTTTCAGTCGGCCTACGCTCTGACCAAGAACGAGACCGTCCTCGACTGGTACCGCGGCCGCATCGACGAGCGCGTCGTCCTCTCCAACGGCAGCATCGCCAACTGGAAGCCTGGCAGCTACTCCCTCGACGAGTACCGCATCGGCAACAACATCCTCTGGTGGTACGAGCACACTGGCGAGGAGAAGTACAAGACTGCCGCCAAGATCATCCGCGACGAGCTTGCCCACCACCCCCGTACTGACGAGGGCGGCTTCGTCCACCGTCACCCCATCTACGACCACCAGATGTGGCTCGACGGCATCTTCATGGCCGACACCTTCTACGCCAAGTATACCTCCCTCTTCGACAAGAAGAACGCCACCGCCTGGGACGACATTATCAACCAGTTCGACGTCATCGATCGCCGCACCCGCAACACCACCCTCAACCTCCTGTACCACGGCTTCGATGAGACCAAGACCGCCGTCTGGGCTCACTCTGAGACCGGTGCCTCTCCTCTCATCTGGTCCCGTGCCGTCGGCTGGTATGCCGTCGCCCTCCTCGAGGTCATCCAGCTCCTGCCCCGCGGCCACCCCGGCATTGAGAAGTTGAGCGACTACTTCATCACCCTTGCCGACGGCCTCAAGAACTCCCAGGACGCCTCCGGCGGCTGGTACCTCATCATGGACCCCTACTACGTCGGCAACCCCGCCAACTACATTGAGTCCTCCGCCTCTGCCCTCTTCACCTTTGCCCTCCTCAAGGGCACCAAGCTCGGCCTCATCCCCGAGCAGAAGTTCTTCCCTGCCGCGGCCAAGGGCTACCAGAAGCTCACCGACTTCGTCACCGAGAACGCCAACGGCACCATCAACTGGGAGGGCACCGTCTATGTCGGCTCCCTGAACAGCGACGCCAGCTTCGAGTACTACACCGGTGTCGAGCTGGCCGCCAACGACTACAAGGGTGTCGGCCCCTTCATGTTCGCCTCGTACGAGTGGGAGACCTACAACCAGACCAAGACCCCCGGTCGTGGTGGCCCCAAGCCTCCCCGCGGCGGCCCCAAGGGCCCTCGCCCCGGCCGCCAGTTCAACCGCCGCTTCCAGAAGACCTACTGGTAGAAGATGCAATGAGAGCGAGCCCATGAGATTCGAAAGTCACGGCCGGCGAGCATGTACATGACTTTATTGCTTAATTTCTTAATCCCGTCTGGGGCGTTGTACATTTTTACATATTCACCTGAACATAGATTCATTCTTTCATCATTAATCCGCTGCGTGAAACTATGTAACCTGCACGTTAAATCTTTGGACGCTGACCTTGGGCGCTGCCCATGGTAGCTCATTCAATGCTTGTCCAATCCTCCTCATACCTTCTCTCACAACCCCCTCATCCTGCGAATAAACCACCCGGAACCATCCAGGCTCAAGGCAGTGCTCCTCCCCGGGATGCAAAAACACCCCCTTCTCAACGAGTTTCTCTGCCAACGCAAACTCTCTCTCTTGATCGGTCCCAGACTCTTTCGGCGGCAACCACGGCCCCAAGTTGGTGTACACAAAGTACCCAGCATTCGCCTCGAGATAATCAATCCCCAAGCTCCTCAACATCCCCGTGACAAACTCATATGCCCCCTTGAGCTTCCCCCTCGAGAGCGCGATGAACTCGTCATGCCACGCCCGATCCTCCAACATGGTCGACGCAATCGCCACAGACGGCCCCGCGGGCGAGTGGAATCTCACCACACTCTTGAACGCATCGTGCAGCGCTCGGTTCCTCGATACCAACGCCCCAAGCCTCAGTCCAGGCGCCGCAAAGTCCTTGGCCAGTCCGTACTCCACATGCACCAGGTCCGGATCGATCATCCCCTCCTCCGGGGTGATCGAAAGCACCGAGGTAAACGTCGTGAGATCGTCCGAAAACACCGAAAGCCCGTAGATCTCGTCGCTAATCAGATGAATATTATGCCTCCCGCAGAATTTCATGATCTCAACCAGCGTCTCGCGCGGGTAGCACCGTCCCAGGGGGTTATTCGGGTTCACAATCATCACAGCGCGCACCTTCACACCCCGCTCCGCCGCCCGCGCCACGGCCTCCTCGAACCGGTCCACCACGTCCGCGTCGAAGCAGTTCTCCGGTGTCGTGTCGGCATACACCACCTCCACGCCCATCTCGTTCCCGAAATCGAGCTCGAAGCGCCCGTACACCGGCCGGCTCGTCAAGATCCCCTCGCCGCGCGAGGCCAGCGCGAACGCAAGCACGTGCTGCACCGCCGTCGCCCCGCTAGCAAGCTGCACATGCTCGCTCGTAATCTCGAAGCACGGGTTGAAGCTCAGGTTCAGGTGCGCCGCCAGCGCAGACCGCAGCCGCGCGCCGCCGGCGGTGCTGTAGCCGTACGTGAAGACGTCCTCGCGCAGCGGCGTGCAGGCGGCGACGGCGGCGACGGCGGGCAGGACGAGCGCGTTGGAGGCGAGCGCGAAGGAGATGAGGCCGTCGGGGTTGGTGGCCGGGTGGTACGTCTGCGGCGGGGCGAAGCGGAAGGGGAGCGCGAGCTGGGCGGCGGTGGCGAGGGCGCGCGGGGAGAGCATTGTGCCGTGGCGCCGGATGGTCATGGCAGTCGGTGTTGCGTGGTGGGAAAAGTTCACGGTGGTTGCGGTGTTTGTGGTGGTGATGGGTGACGGAGGCGGTGACGGCGCTATGAAGTGCTGCCGACCGCCGGGGTCGGGGGTCCAGAGATGAGAACCTTGCTGGCTTGCCTCCGACGTGTCATGGGAGGGAAGATGGGTCAACTTGCGCAAATGCGCTCAGCGTTCCCACTCACGTCGCAAGCTCTCATAGGTGAGGAAGTCAACGTCGTTGAGTTAAGCACCAATTAAACTTGCGGATTCATCGTTGTCTTTGAAGCGCTGGGCCGGTGGGAGAGACGGCTGGTGTTCATTTGTCTACGGTAGCTCGCCGGTATCGCGGGCCGGGAAGGCGGGCCGGGAAGGCGGGCCGGGAAGGCGGGTCGCACGGAGTTCTGCGGGGCTTGTAGGCGCCGGAATGGCTCCATTGACGCAGTCTCGGCAGGGGGGTCGGAGACCGAGAAGGACTCGGAGGCGTCGCTTGCGGGTAAGATTAGGTCTGTGAGTGGGACCCAGACCCGGGAGCCGGGAATGTTTCGTCTGGGTCTTTGCTGCGTGGTGTTAGTTGTTCAAACCCGTGCGACTGTGGCTTTTGCGTGCAGTCGACGCAAAAGCCGCCCTTGTTGTTTATGCGACGGGAGAGTTTCCTCGATTACGGCTGCCGCAACGATGGATTTTCTGCGGGCTGCCTTGGCCTTTTCTAAGAACAGCCACATCGAGTGTTGGCTGGTTTGGGAGCTATGTGTGCCAGCAGCTCCCGCTGGAATTTGTGAAACTTTATTCACCCACCCTAGACGGATGTCTCACTGTGTCTTGTTGGTGCACCACTATTTCCGCGCTGGGTGCAGTCGCATTTCTCACGTAGCGTTGCCTATGCACACACAAGCATTACGATCCGACAGTATTGGCGCTTCGGATCATAAACATGGAATTTCTCATTTGATTTCTGCGTTTGGCAGAAGACGATGGAAAAAGGACAGCAACTTCCAGACAGCAGGTTGTATTATGTAGCCCGGACTGTTTGCCCCGTCCAATCTCACATCCATCGGTCGCCCAGCCCTGAAGAGCGCCAAGGACAGGGGATGGGCGGGTAGCACTGCAATGGCTGCCGTGCCTGCATGGCGATCGACCGGGGAATTGTGTGTTGTGCCCCGAAGAAACAGCCTCCTTTGTTTGCTTCGTAACAGCCCAACTTCGCCTTTCAGTTCACTGTCAGCCTCCTCGCAGAAGCCGAAATTGAGTTCTCGAGCAGAAATGCTGAAATAATCGCCAAGCCTATCATCGCAAAATAAGTACCACCTTCTGCGCACAGGCACCGTCCGAACTGATGATGTGCCGCGGTCGTCAGATGAACGAATACGAAAAGTTCCCCCAGTCAACCGAACAACTGAATGATGGCGTCAACCATACCCCCCGCGTGAAGATGCCTCGCGCCGCAAACCTGATTGACGCTCGAAACAGAACAATCTAGAGACATTGCGATTCTCGGTCTGTTATGGTCGCACAGCACAGCATCAAGACGGGCCTTACGTAGCGATCATCAGACTGCCGAGATTCTCGACCAATCCAGCGCGTTCGGTACCTTGGAGCCCCCCGGAAATTTTCAGCAATGCCATCGGGAGAGTGTGGTCACCAATCGCAAGAGCCGCAACACGTTTGCCTGCCGATGATCATGTATGCCTGGAGGCTGTTCGTCCAACGTCATGACGTAGAGCAGAGCCGCCAGGCACGAAAAAGAGAGAAAAAAAGCAGGCTTGCTGAATGTGGGGAAGACAAAGAAGGCATAGGCCCCGCGCCGCGTGGTTGCTCGCCTCTGGGCTGGTCGCCGTCGGGTGGTCCAGTGCGAATAGCGCGTGGGCGGCGGTCGTTGGGGCCCAGAAAACAACGGCCAGTGACGTCGGAGTCCGTCGGAGGGACCGGGGGGTAAAAGTGGGCTGGCTGCCACTGTTTGCACCCGGCTCCCGCTACCAGGACCAGGACCAGGATCCATTCCATCTCATTCATTCCACTCATTCACTCAGCAGCACCTTTCCGGGCTCCTCAATGATCTCACCGTTACTGAACGCAGCCCTGGTCGAGATGTCCAGCATGGTCGTATAAATCTCCTTCGAGGCTCTCTCTCCCACCCCTAGCCAAGCCACTTGGTGAAAATCCAAAGCCTCTCCGCTGTCTTTACCGAAGTGCGATTAGTGATACCCCATCGCCTGAGTGCGAACTTACACCACAATGGCCGGCAAGCTCCTCCAACTCCTGCCCCTCGTGGCCTACACCTCAGCATCAACGCTCTACTCAACATACAAATTCAACCCCCTGGAGCACCTCGGCGGCATCGCACCCTACTTCGAGCCCCAAGACCCCCCGGCCTCCCCCGACGCGCCCCAGGGCTGCACCGCATCCCGCGCCGCCTACCTCGTCCGCCACGCCGCCATCTACGCCAACGACTTCGACTTTGAGGAGTACATCGAGCCCTTCCTCGAGAAGCTCGGCAACAAGACCAGCCTCGACTGGTCCAAGGTCCCCTCCCTCAGCTTCCTCGCCGACTGGGACGCCCCCGTCTCCGAGGCCGAGACCTCCATCCTCACCCGCGTCGGCCGCCTCGAGGCCACCCAGCTCGGCGTCGACCTCGAGTTCCGCTACCCCAACCTCAAGCTCCCCCAGCGCGTCTGGACCTCCTCCGCCGAGCGCACCTTCAAGTCCGCCCAGTCCCTCGTGCGCGGCCTCGAAATCGACGACGACACCATGAACGTCGTCTCTGTCTACGAGGGCAAGGAGTCCGGCGCCGACAGCCTGACCCCCTACAAGGCCTGCCCGGCCTACTCCTCCTCCGCCGGCAGCGAGCAGTCCGGGAAATTCCAGGAAAAGTTCGCGACCCCCATCACGAAGCGCCTCAACGCCCTCGCCGCCGACTTCAACTTCACCGTCAACGACGTCTTCGGCATGCAGCAGCTCTGCGGCTACGAGACCGTCATCCGCGGCCGCTCCCCCTTCTGCGACCTCGACCTCTTCTCCCCCGACGACTGGCTCGGCTGGGAGTACACCGAAGACATCCGCTACCACTACAACGTCGGCTACGGCAACAACGTCGCCCCCTACGTCGGCATGCCCTGGCTCAACGCCACCGCGAATCTGCTCATGGCAGACGCCGCCGACGAGGACCTGTACGTGAGCTTCACCCACCGCGAGATGCCGCCCATGGTCCTCGTCGCGATGGGGCTCTTCAACAACTCGGAGCCCGGCTTCGGCGCCGCGGCCGACATCAACGCGACCTTTCCCCTGGACAGGATCAACTACCGCCGCGCGTGGCGCAGCTCCAACATCCTGTCGTTCCTGAGCAACATCGCGATCGAAAGGTTGAACTGCACCGGCAGCTACGGGTACGAGGACGGGGAGTACTACCGCGTGCTGGTGAACAGCTCGCCGCAGCCGTTGCCGGATTGCGCGGACGGCCCGGGCACGACGTGCTCGCGCAGCGGGTTTGAGACGTATATTCAGGACCGCGT